AATCTGAATCTACTATCGAAATAACAAGAATCTTAGTCCGGGAAATAGTCAGTGTTAGTTGTGTTTTGTCAGTTACTATAGGTTACAGGAGAGAAATCTAATTTGGATCTCATTATCTCTATATCTTGTCAACCTTTCGCAGATTCACTTCTTCGTTTGTGAGAGCAACAGCTTCTATAATTAACCTCTGTTTGCTGTACAGAGGTTCTCAAAGATGATTGATTCTAACGTCATCTTCCAATCAGCTGTCATCTGTTTCTGAGTAAGAGTTAGTAGAACAGGTCACATCTCAACTGGAAAAGCCTTTGCATTCTCCTCGTTTGCGCAATGACCTGCAAACATCAGTGACAATTTTGCATTGTATGTCCTGTCATTGAATAATCCTAAGGACCACCTGAAAGCCATTGACGACCGTAACTACTGTGCTGACGCAGTGACCGTATCTGGGAAACAAATGAACAGTAGGTCAATAATTTGCTTCATGAGGGTTATAATGCAACTTTCGAAATAACCTTAAAATCGTTGATCAGAGCCACTTTTGATTGCTGCTGAATTTTGACCTACTTAATTGCAGTATTACTTATTCGGCTTTAGCAAGCATTCTTCAGTGATGTAATTTCAATCATATTTTAACTTCATCGTTATCTTTTCAATTTTCAAAGAAATTAACTTTAAATATCATGTTAAGACATTCAAGCCATTCTCGGCGCAATCGGCTTCCTATCGAAAAAAGATTACCTTCTATTACTTCCCCGTTATTACCTACCACAACTCCTACAGTTTCGAACTTTCTGTTCTTCGAGGCTAAATTTCTATGATAAAATAAACAAGAGATTGCTAATTACACACTATCTGCTAGTGTCTGGTTAGTCTCTTCATTAGTACCTGCTCTAGGCAGCCAGCTAACATCTCATATTTTATCTCTATTTGAAAAACAGAAAAGCCCGAATCCCAAGCTGTGTTTCTAGCATGGTCCTTTGGATTTGCTGTGTTGCCTTCATTTCTCTTTTCTCCTTTTGTATCGACTTGTGTCAAGAAGATTGCCTTAGAGCGCTAAAAGGACAGTAACAGTAACTTATGACCAATATAAGCTCAGTGGAGTCTTGTCACTGTCGGCACTACAAAGTGGTTGAAACACGGTTATATATTTGGTTTATCTGACGGTGTACTATTGCGTCACAGAAATGCCGACAGAGATGAGAAGGGCCAGCAGATGCTGGATGAGAGGGTCTACCGAACGGCAATGCTTGACGGCTAAACTACAAGACAATGAAATATATTTGCTATAAATATATGCTTTTCTAGGTAAAGGTGCACTCGCTTGAGTGGATACGCTTTTGATTGGTATGAGATTTTCGACATTAAAATATGTAGGCAATGGAACAAAGTACAGTCTAGAACGTCAACTAACAACTACTGCATCAACCTTCCTACATAAGAAAAATCTGATGTAAGATGCGAAAGCACCAGTCATAATAATGAATATCCTGAAAGCAGATTGCAAACTACTATACCTTTCATAAACAAAATTTCGAAACTACGCTGAACACTACCGAAAAAAGTCCACAGAATTTCTGCACAGATGTGGGAACGATCCAGCCTTTCTACTTTAATTTTTTTTTCTTTTTGGTTCATCTCTAAAACTGTGAAAAATTTCC